ACTGTACTAACCTGCAAAAGCAACTCTACCGTTGTGTGATGACGCCCTACCAGCGCGTTTATCAGACTAGAAGGCTGAAGATCTACAATACGTAACACAATTATTCAGAGTAATCTCTCGCGCAGGCAGCTTCACTAAATCTCGTGAACAGAACTGATGCAAGGGGATCTACCGCATGGAAACAAAATATATCAACAACTTTTCTGAGATCATTACTTGCCGTCTCAATTGTCTGGGGAGAAGGGCTCCAACGCATTCCCTTTATTATTTGGCAGAACAATTTTGCCGGGCAAAGAGGTAAATTATCAAACGGGATTAAGCTGGACAGCGAAATAACGGCACAAAAAGTAATAACTCGACACAACAAACCATGTCTGTGAGTCGTTATTTGATCCAATCAGTGTCCCGTCCGGCTTCGATCTGGCAATGTGAGCCTGTACACAGTACAGGTTACTAAGCCTCTTAAATTTAGCTACAGAAGCAAAAGCCACAAGAATTAGCAGCACATATAAACCGGCTATCTAAGCCTCACTCACAATATGTGAAGCCATCGTTCATGCAGACGTTATGTTAGTCTCCTATAAGTATACCTTTACCAGCATGCAACCCCTATGTCTTATTATTTATTCCTGTATGAATTCAAATGACTTCCCTTTTCTGATGGTTGTCTTTCATCTTGCATTTATGCTAGGTATAAAAACACTAAACTGATAATGGTTTTCGTGTTAATTTCAGGCGATTTCAAACCCCACCAGAAGATTTTTTCCACGAACGCTAAGGTTTTAATGTCAAACTTGTTGTTATTCTGCCCATTGAAACATTAGTTGATGTAATCAATTGTTGCGGCATATTGTTATCTTTGATTTTTTTAGCAATGCGACTGTTATAATAGTACAAACTTTTATCCGATTTTGCAGATGACCTCTGTCGCTGGAAATAAATTTCGTGCCTATAAAGGCTGAAATACAGACTTAGACTGCCTAGATAGGCATTTTCATCACTGCAAGTTTGCTTATTAAGATATAAGATATAAGCGCATTTCCTTAAAGTTTATTAAAGTATTTACATTCCATGTATTATCGATATATATTCCGTACTACAGATGAAAGTCCACCTATCAGAAGCAGAACAAAGGTTACAAAGAATCTCAGATGAGAAAGGAAAGCTGTTAGAAGAACTGGAGCAAGTAAACAAGGAGCATATGGCTCTCAAGCAGAGCAAACAGCTTGCGAGCCAGATGGAAGCTGCCAAGAAAAAGGATCCGGATCTCTATGATCGGGTTATATCTTCTGCAAACCGCAGTGCCTCCCACTATCAGGGCCAAATGGATCGCCTACGCTCCGACCTGGATGACGCCCGGAACGCAGCGGAACGCATGCGAGAGTGAGTTTGAAGTTTGCTGTCTAGCTCTCAGTACCTTGCATTGCCTCCCTAAACTGGCCACGTGGTAAATGTATCTCGAGGGTTTATGTGGGGTAAACCCCAGCAATTGCGATCTTTAGACCATGTTTCCTTGGAAGAGAAGATATCAACGGAGGCCAGAATAGTAGGAATAGTTTATTCTGTATACAGAGTAGCGGTGAATAAGCAGGAAGAAGTTTGATTTCGAAGCGCATGACCAGCTAGGAAGCTAGCCGGGTCCTAAGTGCGTGTTTAGCAGCAGGCATCCCAGCGAATAACGTGAGCGGTCAGTGTCTGGGTCGGCCTAACAGGTTTTTGGCCAGACAGACTGCACCGGCCAACGCATGCAGGCGTGTTATAGGTTGCCGAGCCAGGGGCCAGCTTTGCGGCATCCGTGATTGGCTGTTCCCAGAAATCGAGAACAGCGGCAGTGAGCTTTGACAAAG